TAATATACCATCTTTATTACAGTATGACCACATGTTCTCTTTAATTAATGACCTGGAGAGCCATTCCCAGGTTAAAACCATCAGGCAGCCATGGGATGTAAGTTCCTCCCTGCTGTGAGATCAGTTCTGTAGGGTAAGGGAAGCTGTGCTGGGAGGGCTCACCCAAAGCTTTGCTGCTGTGGTTGTTCAGAGATAATGTGAAATGAAAAGCCTCCTTATCTTTTGGCCACTCTTTGGCTTCAGTTACTCAGCTGGGCACTCCAGGACTTGGTAGTTTTGAAGGGCCAAGAAGAATAGCAAAGAATGAACTTAGAGAAGGATTTCTCACTCCTAAAGCACCACGTGTTGTCCTTTTGGGCCCAACAGATTTGTGAGTCTCACTTCTGCATCCCTGTTTTTGGTGTGGATTTTGCACTGGGTTGTAAAAGGGAAAGAGAACGATGGGCAGGGGGTTTGACTTTTTTTCTGACTCAGCTGCAGCCTGGTTTGTGATACTTGGAGAGCCCAGAAGGCTCCTGTTGTACTGGGAGTGTAAACTCTGCATTTCTCCTGGAGTTACCCCCGTGTCCCCCTCTTCCAGCCCGGGTGATCGACATGGCCCACGGCAAGATAGACGTGGCTGAGAGCTGCCTGGAGGAGACAGGAGGGCTGGGAGTGGACATTGTGCTGGATGCTGGAGGTATTCCCTGGGAGAGGGCTGGGAGTGGACATTGTGCTGGATGCTGGAGGTATTGGAGTGGACATTGTGCTGGATGCTGGAGGTATTGGAGTGGACAGTGTGCTGGATGCTGGAGGTATTCCCTGTGGGAAAGCTGCTCCTCACACCACCACTGCCTTGGGCTTTACAGCATTATTTTACAGCATTATTGGCAAGGAATGTGGCTGGAAGCTGCACCACTTCAGAGGCTTTTATTCTTTCACTGTTTTATCTTTATTCCATAGCCCTTCTTGTGTCACCCTCTAGTGGAAGCTGCTGAATTCAGCTGAAATCTTCCTCTGTTTAAAAGTGAAAATGAAAAATGTGTTCAAAGGGTAGAGCTGCGACATCACTGTTTCTGCTGCCTTGTTTTAATACAAAAATTACCCCAAATTGCCAGCACTGGCAACCTGTACCTCTGAACCAACTCTAATGGCTGAAAACTCTGCAGTTACTATTCAGTCATATAAGATATGACTCTGAATAAAGTATATAAAGCATACAAAATATTCAGAGTACAAATAAAATAGGAAATTGAGAGTTTTCAACTACTTTCAGCTGAAATAACTGAAGAACTTCTTGGAGTTCCACTGAAATGTGTGGAAATAGATTTATACTGGATTTTCTAAATTCTCCTTTGCTGAGCTCAAATGAATTTATTCTTTCTCCCCAGTGAAATTATATAGTGCTGAAGATGAATCAGCTTCAAAATCCCAGCTGCTGCCTCACAAGCACGACATCATCACTCTGCTTGGGGTTGGGGGACACTGGATAACAACAGAAAAAAACCTTCAGGTAAAGATACCTGTGGCAGCAAGTAGCTTGTACACAGAATATGTAGATATATATACAGAAAACTGTCACTCAAACCTGTAAATATTACCAGTTTCCTCAGTTTTAAGGATGGGCAAGGGGTGATTTTTTCCTTTGTTTTAACCATCTTTATAAATAACCATTCAACCTTTATTTTTTTTAAGGGAAAATGTAACTAAATAACATTTCTCTTCCATTTGCTTAAGCTGGATCCTCCAGACAGCCATTCCTTGTTCCTTAAGGGAGCCACGGTGTCCTTCCTGAACGATGAGATCTGGAATTTGTCCAACGTGCAGCAAGGGAAGTATCTCTATATCCTTTTGGGGGGCATTTGGAATTCTGGCCTTGAAAATGTCTGTACAAGCTCTGCTGCAATAGAAGACACCTTTTTCTGGGACAAAAAAGGCAATATTTTGGTTCAAATTTGAAGCAATTAGTTGAAGATTTAATTCTTTAAGTTTTTTATATTATGCAAGTGAAACTGTGGAATGATTTGTGTTGTTCTTTTGGGCATTGGATGCATCATCTGTAAACTTCACGCAGTCAGGGTCACTGCAGAACTGCAAATATTTTGGCTTCTTACCATTCCCTTATTTGCAATGTACATAAAATGTACTTATTTGTTAATGTACTCAGAATGCGTGGAGGGAAGATATGGGTGTGGGAAAAGGAATGATGGGAAAAGGAATGCCTTCTAAATGTGGGCTGGAGCAGCTGGACTGAGCTCCCTGAGCATCACATTTCCAGTCCTGGAAGGTTTGTGTGGGTTTGGATTTAAGGACCTGTGTATCTTGTGAAATTCCTGAGCACCTGGCATTAGTGTCTGAAGAAATCACAAGCTGATGGCTTTTTAAGGGACTTGAGTTTCAAATAACAACCAGATTGCTCTTAAAATGAAGGATGAACCTTGTTTTTTGAGTTTCCTACAAAGCCTAAATACAGCCCCATCTGTTGTGCTGTCCTGGGTGTTACTCATCAACTCACAGATGGCAGCTCTGCTCCAAGAATTCCCAGGCTCTCCTATGTTCCCAGTTGTATTTTGATTTATTTTGGGTGCCTGTATGGATAGTCAGGGCAGTTATCTGGCCCCAAAGTCTGTCCTCTTCATCCTGCACAGAAAATGCCATTGATTAATTGATTAATAATTGATTAATGTTGTACTAGTGCAGGCTGCACTTGTATTTCATATTGAATATTTTTATATTGAAAGAATTGAAATATTCCATATTTCATTTCTTCATCCTATTGCAGGAAAAGTCTCTCATATAGGAACAAGTGCAAAAGTCTGATCTAAAGATTGGAACTGAGATTCATTTTCCTTTTGCCTGGATCCTGCTGGGCTTGTATCAGTACAGGGCTCTGACCAGCAAACTTGATTATGTAGAGGTTTCTCTCCAGCTCTGTTGTTCCTTGACACTCCTCCTGGATACCCATCCTAGAAGATATCATGGAGAAATTATCAAGTGGCGTTTTCAGGTGAGAGATCTCAGGGGGGTTGTGGGTTTTTTTACTTCAGCATTAGAAGCAGAAAACTCTTGCCAGCTCTAACACTCCTGAGAAGAGTTTCAGGAGAGAGGAACGCTCCCATAATGAGGTGGGATCCCTTCCCTCAAAAGCAGGATAACTGTTGCTGTTGAGCAAAACCCTCACCACCACCCCTTTTTTCCCCCCTCTAAGGTTATACTTTTATTAAATTCTGTTTCCTGTTTGCTTTTTGGGATTTTCCCTCCTCCTGTGCACTCGAGCAAAGCTATAAGACTTTTATTTTGTTTAAGGAGTGAGGTTTACACAGTAAAGTCTGTCCTGTGACATCCCTGTAGATCTGAGTTGGCTCAGCAGACACTTTTACTCTTTCCCTTTAGGCCTCAGCTGGATGAACCGATCCCACTGTACGAGGCCAAAGTTTCTATGGAGATTGTTCAGAAGAATCAAGCCAGAAAAAGACAAGTCATCCAGTTCTGACAGGCAATCTCCTGATTTCTAAGCCTGTAGGAGACAAAGAAACGTAATATATTTGTGGAGTGAATCAGTGTAGGCTTTCAGACAGTTCTGTAACCAGAATTTAAACATCCTTTGTACCTCAGCACAAATGGTCTCGAAGCTCCTGCGACTTCAGGGTATTTTTTAATCCACATGAGCAGAATGTTCCCATCAGCAGCTTCCAAGGAAGCAGCCTTGACCTACAGATCTTGTCTGCCCTGCCCTAGTTACAAACATCAGTAACATCTACAGCCAAACCCAGCTGCTGTTGGGTTTCAACTGTAAGAAATTAAAGGGGGGAAAAAAAAAATCATCCAAACCCACAATTAATCTGTCTTCTGTCACTCCCTGGATTTGGAGCAGGTTCCTGATAAATGATGCACGGGAAGTGTATGAAAACAGGAGGAAATCTGATTTTACTGCTCGTGTGATGTAATGCAGCCCCAAAAAGAAGTGATGCTGTCATGCACGTGTGTACACACACGCCTAAAGCACGTGAACCCTCCCTTAGTGCCGCAGTTATTCTGAAACCTTCTACCCAACTGTTGATTTTTGTCTGATGCTCCTCATTTGAGCCTAAACGTTTGCAAGATAAAGCAGACCACAGGAAACAAGAAATTAAAAAATTTAAAAAAAAACAAAACCAAGAACAACCACTGACAAGACTGCCAAAGAAAGATATTTTTTTTTTATGTAGTATAGATTTTCTTTTATTAAATCTTTTGCCAGTAGATATGTTGATCCTAAGTACCTCTTTATGCCTTTTGAACTGCATTTATTTACAATCATTTATTTTTATTATTTATTGTGCTTTCTGAACCCCAGGTACAACAGACTAGTGCAATCAAAACTAGTTTCTATACCAAATAGACTTAAGAATTAGGGGGTTTTACCCCAAAGAGACTAAACCCCGTGTGTTTAGTGGCACCTCTCACCCAGCTGGTCCCGGTATCCCCACAGGTGATTTTTGCCCTGTGGGAATTCCATACACCCGACCAGCAACTTAAATTAATCAGCAGTAATTTATTATTTATTTATTTTTATCATGTATTATGCCTTTTGAACCCCATGTACCACAGACTGCTGTGACCAAAACTAGATGTCTATCCCAAAGAGACTAAAAGCCTAGTTTATCTGGGATAAAAACCCCTAGGGTTTTTAGTGTATTTGGGATAAAAGACTAAACCCTGTGTGTTTAGTCTCACATATCACACAGCTGGGACCAGGTCGCAGCGTCTCCACAGGTGATTTTCGCGCTGGTGCAGCCGTGTGGTGACTTTGACACACCCGCCCACAGCGATTGGGGCTGGTTTCCGAACGGAACTCTGTTTATGTTCCTGAGCAGCAGTTCCCTGACCCTTTATTAGTCTGTCCCGGCCGGAGCGGCGCTGGCGGGAGCCGCTCTCCCCTCCGAGCCCTGAGGGCGCAGCGATGGCGGCGCCGCTCCCTCAGCGCCGCCCCGGGGCGGAGCGGGCGGCCTTTGGTGCCGGGCCGGGCCCGCGGGTGCTGCGGGCTGCGCTCGGCCATGGCCGACCCCGGGGACCCGCCCGGCTTCCAGAGGCCGCCGGCGATGCTGCGGCTGAAGCGCAAACGCCCGCGGAGGAGCGAACCCGCCGCCGCCGCCGCCACCGCCCCGGCCCCGCGGGGCCCCTCCGCGCCCGCCCGCCGCAACCCCTTCTGCAGCCTGAACAACAACAACGCGCCTCAGCGGGCGGCGGCCCCTCTGCCCCCGGCCCCGGCGGGCGGGGATCCATCGGCAGCGCCCTTCTGGCAGGTGGGACCGAGCCCCGGCACCGGGGGCTCTCCGCGTGGCGCCGGGGAGGAGACGGGAGACACGGGGAGGGGACTCGGCGCCCTCGCCCTTTCGCCATCAACCATCGCCCTCAGTCCTCTCCCTCAGCACCCTCGCCCTCAGCCCGCGCTCTCAGGCCTCGCCCTCATCCCCGAACCCCTTTTAAATCCTCACCGGGGCTCGTCCCGGCCTCATACAAGTCAGTGCTGGACTCTTGCTCAGCACCGTGTGGGATCTTGCTCTTGCCCCAGGGGTGGGTGTTCGCAGCCTGGCCGTGCTTGGGATCAGCCGTGAAATGTCACTGCCGGGGCGTTTTTTAAAATGATCGGCCCGGTGCTTCCTTTGCTCCCTTGGGCCTTACGCTGCTGTTTCATTCAGTTTTTAGAGCCTGCCTGTGAAGAGAAGCCCCCCGGGAGAGCAGAGCCCGCGGGAGGAGCCGACATCCTCGCCCTAACCGAGGTAGGAAACAGAGTGCTGGGAAGGTTTTAGCTGTTTTCTCATTTTTTTTTTTAATAATTTGTCCTTTGATCTGTTCCTGTTTATGATTGCTGGAAAGACTCCTGTGGGTGAAAACCATCTTGTGTGGTTTTATAAGCAACAAAATGGGTTATTTCTATTAGAATCTGGTGCTGACTGAAATAATCAGCTGAGTCTAAAGTGTGCCTTTGGTTTCACTTGTGAACAGGTTTAATTTTCTGTGAGTGAACTGATGCTGTTTCTGTTTGGACAGGACCTTCATTTACCTACTGCTGTACCCAAAGTTCCCTCCTCACCAAGACAGGAATTCCCTGCAGACTGGAGTATTAAAACACGGATTCTGTTCATGTCTTCCCAACCTTTCACCTGGACAGAACACTTAAAAGCACAAGAGGAAGCTCAGGGACTTGCTCAGCACTGTAGAGCTACAGAAACCACCTTGCCCCCGAGTGTGCAGGTGAGAGCTGGGAGGGTGGCTGGAGCTCCAGCTTTGTGTCTGGCAGCTTTCCTGTCCTCCTCAAACCCTCTGGGATCTCCAGGAACCCCAGCTGTGCACAGAGCTGCGTTGTGCCTTCCAGCAGAGCCTCGTGTACTGGCTCCACCCTTCGCTGCCCTGGCTGCCGCTGTTCCCTCGGATTGGGGCAGACAGGAAAATAGCTGGAAAGGCTTGTCCTTGGGCACAGGATGAGGCCTTGCAGCAAGTGCTCAGGAGTGACTGGTGAGTGGAACCAAATTAATCATGTATTTGGTAAGATTAAGACAATGGGATTTTAATTAATCACAGAATCACAGGATGGTTTGGGATGGGAGGGATTTTTAAGGATCTTCTCGTTCCACCCCCTGCCACGGGCAGGGGCACATTCCACCAGCCCAGGTTGCTCCAAGCCCCATCCAACCTGGCCTTGGACACTTCTAGGGATCCAGGGGCAGCCACAGGGGCAACCCATGCCAAGGCCTCCCCACCCTCCCAGCCAGGAATTCCTCCCAGTATCCCGTCTATCCCTGCCCTCTGGCAGTGGGAAGCCATTCCCCGTTGTGCTGTCCCTCCACCCCTTGTCCCAAGCTCCTGTGCAGTGTCAGTAGCCAAGGAGTGCCTGCCGTGAGGGCTGTTGCTGCTCGTTCCCAGGTGTGTGAGCTTCTCCTCGCTGTACCGGCTGCTCAAGGCGGGGCTGTGTCCCTATTTCTACGTGTGCTGCCCGCAGTTCACGGTGCTGTTCCGCGCCGCGGGGCTGGGGGGCAGCGCCGTGCCCAGCGCCGCCATCGCCCCCACCACCCGCGGCTTCAGGGAGGCCCTCAGGAGCGAAGGCAAGTGCAGCCAGTCCTGCTGGCACGGGGGTGATTCACGAAAGGCAGGGGCTGTGCGACAGAACCGCTCACTGCTCTCTCTCCTCTGCCCCAGGCATAGAGTTCTCCTTACCTTTCGTAGAAGAGAGAGCCAGGAGACAGAAGAACTCCGAGGAGGATTTGGGAACAGAAGTGGCTGATGGCTTCAGAGGGGGCAGCAGTGCAGAGGATGCAGAGTAAGTGACCACCCTGTGCAGTGCTGGAATTCAAGGGCATCTCCGGGCTCCTGCACAGCCCGTTTGGAAAACCCTCCTCGGAGTCACTGCCCTGCTGACACTGATCCTGTGCTTTCCAGGGAGCCAGCTCTGAGTGATGATGATGAGGAGGAAAGCTTCTCTTGGCTCGAGGAGATGGGAGTCCAAGACGAGGTGAAGAAACCAGACACCATTTCCATCCAACTGTATCCTTCCTTTGCACTTCCAGGGGTGCGACACTGGGAACCCCTGCAGCTGTTACAGTGCTGTGGTACAGATTTAGGTTCTCTCAGAGCTTTTGAGAGCTGTTTTCCAGATACGAATCCTCCCATTCCTGCATGCTAAGAGCCTGTGCATGTCTTCTGGAGTTCCTTTACAAGAACTTCCAGGAATCTGAAGCCAGGATTAAGATGCTGCTTAATATTTGAAGAACAAACCAGTGCAAACTCGGTGTGGTTTGGCTTTTGGGCTTGAAGGACTCGATTGGTCAGAGGGGGCGGGGGGGCTGTGCTGCTCCAGCTCTGCCTTTGCACAGGGATGTTTCCCTCCTGCCCGTGGTTATGCCGTGACTCCCGTTCCCAGGCGCAAGGAGAAGCAGGAGGTGCAGGTGGATCACAGGCCCGAGTCGCTGGCGCTGGTGAGGGGCTCGGACACGCTGACCCTGCTCAACCTGCTCATCAACTGCCGCAGCCTGGTGGCCGTGGCGGGGCCGCAGGCGGGGCTGCCCCCCACGCTGCTGTCCCCCGTGGCCTTCCGGGGGGGCACCATGCACACGCTCAAGGTGAGGCCCTGCCACAGGGGGAGGAGGGTTCCTCACCCCCGGCCTGGTGTCCTTTCCCTCAGGCACCACGGAGAGGGGTTTGTGGCTGGAGCCAGAGCCAGCCTGGTGTGTGCAGTCCAGCCTGTTCCTAAACCCCCTGCACCCACACACGGCCCTGTGCTGCACGGATGGCCCCAGGTTCCCCTCCTGCACCTCAGACAGGCAGGACTGCCCGGGGGGAAAAGGGGGCTAAAAGGTTCCTCCCAAGTTCTTGTGGGGTCTGAGGCTGTCCTGGCCCTTTGCACCAAGGACCTTCTGAGCCACAGCTCACCAGCTGTTCCTGTAAGGGGGGATTTGGGCTGGCAGGGACCTTAAGGATCGTCCAGTGCCACCCCCTGCCATGGGCAGGGACACCTTCCACTAGACCAGGTTGCTCCAAGCCCCATCCAACCTGGCACTGGACACTTCAGGGCCAGCCACAGCTTCTCTGGGCAACCTGTGCCAGCGCCTCCCCACCCTCCCAGCCAGGAATTTCTACCCAGTAAGAACAGGATGAGCTGCTTATTCCACCAGAGAAGTCCACCCTGTTCTTTGCACCGATTCCTACAATCCCCACAGCATTCCTGCACTCCAGGTGGTGCATTTCAGGAGTAAAGCCATGGCAGTGCTGGTGCACTGAACAGGGAGTTGACAATGTTGAGAAGTGTTTCCATTTCCCGTGGCCCCGTGGTGTCAGAGTGGGTGGGAGCTGGTGGGGCTGTGCTGAGGGCAGTGCTGATCCCTGCTGTGCCCCCCCATCCCTGCTGTGCCCCTGATCCCTGCTGTGCCCCTGATCCCTGCTGT